CAGTCGACAACATGGGAGTCCAGCGACATAGGCATTATGCTAACTGCTGGTCCCGAAATATAACTTTTTTAAAAAAAGAATTATTTATTGATTCTTCTTCTTCTTCAATTTGAGAGAGACAGAAAAAGAGAGAGAGAGAGAGAGAGAAAGCTGCCAGGTCCAGGACTCAAACCGGGGTCTGCTATAAGTGGGAGTCCAGTGCCTCAGCCACCACACCACCTGCCAGTCCCAAGAAATACAACTTTTGAGGGTCAGCAGGTGGCATGGTGGTTAAAACACTGGACTCTCACATGGCCAACTGCAGTTTGTGTCATGGACCTCACAGCTTGGAAATCATGCTGGCATTGAGCCCAAAGTTGCAGGATGAGGGAACCAGAAGATGGCATGATAGTCCCATTGCTGGACTCCCACGTAGTCAATGGAGGTTCGAATCCCAGACCCAAAGGCTTAAAACTCAAGCCAGGCACATGTGTATTCATGCCCAAAATCCTGAGAAAAGAATGGAGAAGGGATCGTAGTGTGGCCATCCCCCCCCCCCCCCGGGGGGGGGGGTTTTTTCTCTGGGGGGGTGTAGTTTTCTGTCAATCTCACTCTGTCTCTCCAGCGAGCAGATGTGCCATACAGCAAACATCTCTCTAAAAAAATTCCAGGAGAGTAGAGGAGAAGGGATTGTGGCCTGGCCATCCTCTCTGAGGGGTGATTTATCACCTTCCCTCTCTCTCTCTCTCTCTCTCTCTCTCTGTCCTTCTGGCATTATCCCTATGGCAAAAAACTAAAAAAAGAAAGAAAAAGAAATATAACTTGTTAAGATACTGACCTAGGGCCCAGCAGATAGCATAGCAGTTACATCACTGTACTCTCACATGCCAACTGCAGTTCAAATCCTGGACCCAGTGGCTTGAAAATCATGCCAGGTGGGACCAGCAGTTAGCTCAATGGCTGTGTCACTGAACTCCCATGTAGTCAACTGCGGTTCGAGTCCTGGACCCGGAGGCTTAAACTCACGCCAGGCACATGTGCGCACGTGCCCAAGATCCCGAGAGGAGAACGGAGGAGAAGGGATTGTGGCGTGGCCATCCTCCCTGGGGGGTGATTTCTCACTTTCTGTCTCTCTGTCTCTCTCTATAGGGCACACGCCCTATAGCAAAAACCTCTTAAAAATATATATATGCCCGGTGTGCATGCGTGCAGCATGCACAAGATCTTGGGAGAAAAATGGAGATGGGATTGTGGCCTGGCCATCCTCTCTGAGGGGTGATTTATCACCTTCCCTCTGTCTGTCTCTCTCTCTGTCCCTCTGGCATTATCCCTATGGCAGAAAACTAAAAAAAGAGAGAAAAAAAGAGGAGAATGGAGGAGAAGGGATTCCTTCTCCTCCATTCTCCTCTTTTTTTCTTTTATCCTAAGACAAAAACTCCTAAAAAAAAAAAACAAAAAAAAGATACTGTCCTAAATATCTTCTAAATTTCTTCACATTTCTGAACACTCAAAAATGTCTTGGGAACCAGTAGTTAGCGTAATGGCTATGTCGCTGGACTCCCACATAGTCGACCGTGGTTTGCGTCCTGGTCCCGGTGGCTTAAAACTCACGCTGGGTGCGTGTGCGTGCGTGCCCAAGATCCCGAGAGGAGAATGGAGGAGAAGGGATTGTGGTGTGGCCATCCCCCAGGGGGGTGATTTCTCGCTTTCTGTCTCTCTGTCTGTCTGGCAAGCGCACGCGCCCTATAGTGAAAATCTCTCCAAAAAAAAAAAAAATGTCTTTGCTGGGGCCAGTAAGTGGCATAGTGGTTAAGGGCACTGAACTCTCACATGGCTGACTACAGTTAGAATCCCGGACCTGCGGCTTGCTTTTTCACTTTCCCTCTCTCTCTTTGTTCCCTCTCTCACTCATTCTGTTCACATCTGCTCAAATTTAAATAAGTAAACAAAGTTAAATAAAATAATTCTCTCTTTTTTAAGAATTATTTTATTTAACTTTATTTATTTATACATTTTTCAATTTTAATTTGACCAGAGAGGGAGAGAGAGGGAAAGAAAGAGATAGAAAGTGAGAAAGCAAGCCACCAGGTTCAGGACTCGAACCATAGTCGCCCATGTGGGAATCCAGCGCCTTTAACCACCATGCCATCTGCTGGCCCCAATAAAATAATTCTTGAAAAAAAGTCTTTGCTTTATGAATTCTGTACTTGTAAAATACTTTGAATGTTTGGGCTGGCAGGTGGCATCGTGGTTAAGGTACTGGACTCCCACATAGTAGACTGTGGTTCAAGTCCCAGACCTGGCAGTTTGCTTTCTCATATTCTATCAGATCAAATTGAATAATAATAATTAATTAATGAAATTAAATAAATAATTATTTAAAAATCATTTAAATGTAGGGGACCAGCAGGTGGCAAGGTGGTTAAAGCGCTGCACACCCCCACATGGCTGATCATGGTTCAACTCCCAGACCTGGTGGCTTGCTTTCTCACTTTCCCTCTCTCTCTCTCTCTCTCTCTGGTCAAATTAAAATAAATAAATGAATGAATAATATTACGTAAAATAATAAAAAAATCATGTGAATGTTAAAACTGAAATTGTGTATTAAGGGTATTCAAAAAACTTATGCAAGGAATAAGAATACTCTTTGTACACATGGGAAACAGTATGCTGATTTCATTCAAAGTAGCAACATTTTAGTAACGGGTGACTAGGTGAGATAATAAATGTAAAATTATGAAATGAGAGATAATCCAAAAGAAAAATATATCATGCAAAAGACTTTATTATGGGGCTGGCAGGTGGCGTGGTGATTAAGGGCGCTGGACTCCCACATGGCCGACCACGGTTCGAGTCCTGGAGCTGGAGGCTTGCTTTCTCACTTTTTCTCTCTCTGTCTGTCTCTCTCTCCCTCCGTCCCTCTCTGGTCAAATTAAAATAAATAAATACATGAATGAATAAATAAAATTAAGTAAAATAATTCTTTAAAAAAAAGAGGCCTTATTTCAGGTATACTTTTTACTTTACAAAGTCCTCCTTCTCCATGATACTCAGTTGGAAACATACCAACAAGATGCATGTGGAACAAAGGTTCACGTACTCTAAGTGGAACAAAATGACACAGAAAATAGTATAGGCAATGAAAGAACCTTTGGCAAGATCCTTGCACAAATTGATATGAGGGAAAAAGTCTGAATTAACTTAAACAACTAAAAATCAGACTGACTTCAACTAGTGAATGTCTATTTCCACCTCATTTTCACTCCTCCCTAAGTTTCATGATGTGAATTTAAAATAACTATTAATATATCTCCAGGTTAGTAGAAATTGTATTCCTTGAACACTGTCCATCTCAACTAGTTTTCAGTAGGTATTTAAGTTATATTTATCTATTTAATATTTATTTGTTATTTAATTCCATTTGTTAATATTATTTTTAAAATTTGATCAGAGAGAGTCAGAGAGAGAGAAAGGAAAAGTGAGAAAGCTTTCTAGTCACCAGGTCTGGGATTCAAACCAAGGTCAGCCATGTGGGAGTCCTGCACCTGAACCACCACACCACATGCCAGACCCAACATTTATTTGTTAATCATCCAACGTACAGAATTTATTTACAGTCTGTACAACCGAAAGTTACCATTACAAGAATTTTTAACAAAATTAACTGCAAAAGCATATAAAATGCAAGTCTGAAAATGATGAAAGGCTAAGAAAACCAAAAAAGGTCAGTGTTCGTACAACCTGGCATCCCTACGTCATATTACTTAGGCTTGCTGTTTAAAAGAAGGGCGATTAACAGTGTGGTGAGGACCTAAGCTCAGAGAGAAACCCACCCTGCTTGTGTGCCTTGGGCTCAGGGCTCTCTCTAGCAGAAGTGGAACACAATGTTACTTTCAGGGATTTTAATAAATCTAGGGAACACTGCTAGCAAAAGAGTTGCTGTCCAAATAGACTGACACACACAGGCCAATGTAGCCCCTAATGACAGAGTAAGATAATGACAGGCCCCACTCAAAATCAGCAGGAAGAGGAAGATCAATCTTGGCAGAGTGAAGGAAAAATGCTGGCTTTCTTCGTGTTAGCTCATCTCATACATATCTAGCCTCTGCAGCTGCCCAGTGCTGTGGTGCTCTGCATTAACTACACAGTGGATCAATAACAATTACACCTTCTCAAAAACATGACACATAGCAGGATTGGGCTGACATTTCACTTAGGCCAACATTGATCTCAGTGCATCTGATTCCAGCCCGAAATTCAAGGCAGGCCTGGGTTTACTTGGAATAAACACAGAGTTAAAGACAAAAAGGGAAACCAGCTGCTTGCGTCTGGGGCTAGAAGTAAACAGCTCTTCCACGGGTGCAGTTCCCATTTTCAATCCACTCTTCTTCCTGTTGCTACCGGCAATTCTGAAGTTGATCAAAGACTATTTTTTATATTATTTACTCACCGTGACATCAATGTTGATAATATCTCCATCCTGAAGGGGTGAACTGAAACATAAACAGAAAAAAAAAAAAAAAAAAAAAAAAGGGTGACAGACAGATCTCAATAAAAGGAATATACAAATAAGTATCTAATGACTACTATCACAAACCCAATGAGTCACAGAGAAAATGTGGAGTGAGGGTGGAATAAATGGAACAGCTATATCTAACCTTTAACTTAGGTTAGTCACATCAAATTTTATAGGAAATACAGAATACAATAATACAAACATATTGCCATTGCTTAAAAATAGACTATTCTTTAAAGAGGTACTTATTAGTTACCTTAATTTTGCAAAGAGCCAAAACAATCATTGACAACAGAAATTTGGAGTTTTGCCATTTATATGATTAAATTCCAAGATGGTGAAAAAAATCTTGAATCACAACCACTTTCTAAATTATGTACTGCTATTTTTTTTTTCCAAATAAACATTAAATGGCAGTATTAGGTCCATTTAGAAGGAAAAAGACTTCAAAATTTTGTTTTACCATAACCACCTTCAGAAGTTTGTAGGTGGGTTTCAGTTGAACTGTGGTGTCTTTCAACATATGTTATAAATCTGAGTTTAATATTTTAGTTTCCAAAAGAACAGTATGTTATTAAGAAATGAATACCTGTCAGGAATACCGTGACAGAGCACGTTGTTTACAGAGGTACAAACAGATTTTGGAAAGCCTCCATAGCCTAGAGGTGAGGGGTAGGCACCATGACTGATGATTTCCTGATGCACAAGAGCATCTATCTCTTCGGTTGTCATGTCAACCTAAAATACGAAATAAAGACATTGTACAGCAGTGGTTGGAGACGTTTCCTGTACCTACTGAGTATGCCTACAAGCAACAGCACGTCCACATGAGACTGCATACATTTACTACGAAAACCTTACAGAACAATATTGTAATTAATTACAATTAATGGTACAATCCTCCCGTGTGTCTTTTTGAACATCATTTGGGTATATGGTGGTGTTATAAACTATTAGGAAATGGAAATTTTAAACACTTGCTGAGTCATTAAATGACACGACACCTTTTTAGCCTAAGAATTTCAAAAACATGTTCTTCGGCAACTCCTTTCTGTCCTCAGTGGGTAGTGCCCTGGGACGACCAAGTCGTATAAATGAATGCTCAAAATGACTTCAGCGGAGATGACAAGGCTTGAAAAGTGGGTCAACTACACCTTTACATCTCAGTGTAACATTACACGGGTCTCGTACCAATGGCATGGAGATTATAGATCATCATTTTCAAAACTGAGTTTGATGCATTTTGTAGAGATGTGATTTTCACTAATTTTGATTTCTTTCATGCCTAAATAACAAAATGGTTTTTTAAACTATTTTTTCCTCCCTAGAAGGTATCCAACTGCTTCCAAATGAAAAGAAAACTCAAATTGAGTTTCATAAGTACATGGAGACTTATTTCCATAAACTCATAAAGTACAAAAACACTAGAACAAAAATAAAATATTTTTAAAGTTATTTTTCATTTAATTGTATTTATGATTTATTTATTTATTTTAATTTGACCAGAGAAAGACAGAGTAAGACAAAGAGATATAAAGAGAGGGAAAGTGAAAAAGCAAGCTGCCAGGACTTGAACTGTGATCGGCCATGTGGGAGTCCAGCGCCCTTAACCAACATGCCATCTGCCAGCCCCAATTATTATTATTATTATTATTATTATTATTATTATTAATTCACCAGAGAGAGATAGAGAGAGAGGAAAAGAGAGATAGCAAGCTGCCAGACTTGGGACTTGAACTGTAGTTGAGCATGTAGAGAGAGAGAGAAAGAGAGAAAGGGAAAGTAAGACAGCAAGCCACTAGGCCTGGGCAAAAATAAAATCTTCATTAAAAATGAACTATTTCTCTAATAACTTTGTCTATTTTTTTCACACTATGCTTAGTTATATTGCTGTAACAAGTTTACTACACAGATGATACCATAAGCACTTTCATCTTTGAGTCTCAGTTCCTAAATTCTGCCTACCTTTTGGAAACTACAGGCCTGAGTTTTCTTTTATGATCCTTCGATAGCCCGCGATTTCAGATATGAAAAAAAAAAATCTTGTAGTAGGATGGTTGTAGATAATTACATTGCTATATTGCCTATATCTTTGTATATCTGGTCTGGTCCTTCTTTGCAAAATTCATGCAAGAAAACAGGAGACAATGGACACGGCACAGCAGATCTTGAAGCACACAGAACTAATGCGGGGGTGGGGGTAAAGGCAGGAAGTACAGGCAGAAGTAAGGGGGCAAGACCAGAGCTGTCTGCCATGCATCAACTTGGACAGGCTAATTCAGTCCAGTATCTAGAATTCTGCTAGTTACAACTGAATTTGGATTTTAAATGCCCTCTTGAATAAACATATAAATAATAAAATCCCCTTCTCCCATCCCAAGGATTTACTTAAATTTTCAGACAAATCAGATATGTGCAAAAGAAGAGTTAATGGGAGAGAAAAAGAGGAATATTGGTTGCCCATTCTGTAAGGCGTTCTGAGGCTTGGTGAGGCACCACCTTTAAACTCTTCCCAGCCAGGAGGAGGACATGACGGGCCAGCTGACAGGCCTGACGAAGCCCTTGAATCTGATCTTCATTCTTAACTTCTATGCAGTCTCCCCAGTTGGGTATAATGCCTGTCGTCACGTAGTCTGGCTTCTTTATGTGCTTGAGGAAAAAGGATTGAAAACGAAGATCAGAACTCAGTGCATCACAATGGGATCATTTTTTCGGACACAGGCTCCTGCTTCATGGTGCTCTGCCCTTCCTGCCGGAGCACCGACCTCCGAAGCCAGCACATCAGACCCTCGGGGCTGCCCCCAGTTCCTTCCCCTGCCCTTTTGAACTTAACATTGCCTGTTAGTGCTGCCTGTCGATGGTCTGTTAACCTTACCATGCTTTTAGTCCAACAGGGCTAAAGTAGACTTCTGGTCAAAACAAACAGTTGTGTTCTTTCCTTCCTCCCGGCCCTCTGAGAAGCACAGCACCATGATGCTGAATAGTACCAAGCTTCCAATTTGCCAAGTGGTTAATTAAGAGCACTTTGATCTTCTTAGCACGAAGATAAAATTTATGCAAAGGATGCTCCCAGCACCCCCTCTGAATGAATGCACGTAAAAACCGACTGTCAAGATAACTGAAGCCTATCACACACACACACACACACACTTTCAACTACACTCAAACTGAGAAGCTGGAGGAAAAAAAACCCACACACATAAAACATTCGTTTCCTTTTTCCAAGAATATAAAAAACTACCTAGAACTTTTCCAGTATTTGTCAGGAACAAGTAAAAAGCCCCCAGACACTCCAAACATTTGACTCTGATCACTCCTGTGGACCCTTCTCCACATACACTCCAACTTACCCACAAAACTTCTTTAGGTCCCGAGGTTCTGCTTGACTCGTTGACAAACTAGTTATAGCAACTACACAAGCACTGTTGAACAGTACACAGCAGCTTGGGACAGGAGACTGAGTGAGATAACACTATTCAACTGAAATACCATGGCAGCTCTGGAAGGCCGAGGTTAGGGCTCTCCTCTTTGTGAGGTACGTCATGCAGGATTGAAGGATCCTCACCTATCCTCCTGTTCACATGGGCTTCGTGACACGAGTAATGTCAGCCGCTCGCTGCAGCTGGGGCCTGGAGGACATCTGTGTACTCTCCTGCGGCTACCTCCCCAGCACGCACACATGTGCACCAGGCTGCCCCCGAAGAACCTGTGTTCTCATCTCCACTCTGCTTGTGATCTGCTTTGAGGTTATAACGACAGGCAGAAGGCCTGTCGGGTTGTCACTGAAATTGACTGAAATGTCTAAAACAATACATGCGCTTCTCTGGAGATTTCTTTATGTTTTCTACTAAGGAACACTAACGTTGACTTTGTGACTGATATCAAATGCTGGTTCTTACTGAGTACACTCCAGGCCTCAGCTGAGACTGGAGTATGCTCTAGACTCAGGGACCCATCTGTCTTGTTGCCCCTGGTCACAAAATGGGCCACTAATCCTCAGGAGGTGTAACAAACATGCTTAGTGTGGTTTACTGTAAAAGGGAGCGAGCAGGTGATTTTTGTGACAAATCTATTGACATATATTTCTTTCAGCTATTTTCCTTCCTCCTAAATGACTCACACATCTCCTTTATATTGCATTTCAATAAATGGATAAATTGTCTTTTCACTGACAATCTCTGGGGAAAAAAAAATCAAGACTATTCTTAAGACAAATTGTTTTATTTAATTTACTAGAAACGACGATTCAAAGAGAGCCACATTAGTGACATGGTAAGTATAAGAGCAGTCTTTAAAAACATCTAGACTGTTCATTTCAAGTAAAAATCTCTTGAATCTTCTCAATTTTATAGTCAGTTTTATTTCCCAAAAGAGGTAGGAAACTAAATGTAGATTTACCTTTATGCTAGAAAATTTCATGACAGAAATTTTCATTCCAAATAAGTTTTATTTTAAAAATTGTTACAAAACTGTAAGATGTGAAAACTTCTCCTACTGCAATTTTTAACGACAAACCAAGTTTTAAAATGATGACTCGAGTGGCCCAGAACTCAAAGGTGCACCACATTTGATCACTTTTTCAGTCAATCTTTAGCCTCGCGGGAAAAAGCGGTGGGTAACAGGCAATACAGTACCTTAGGGACTGGGTGAGCGGAAGAAACTGTAGCCGGCAAAACTACACTGTGTGAAACATCTCTTTGTCTCCAGAAAAAGACATTTCTTCTTTGTTGACTGCTTGACTGCTTGTGTAAGTAGATATGACTGGGTGGTAAAGAGAAAATTCTATGACAACCTACAAGCAAAAATAGACATTTTAAGAAAAAAAAAAAAAACTAACAGTGCTGCACTTTAAGATGGGGTGTTCTTGTCTATTCAATCATTATTTTAATCCTTTATTGACTCAAAAAGGAAAAGCCTGAAATAGAAAAGAAAGCAGGGGTATTATGAGTTCTAGTACAAGAGTAGCACAGCATATTTATTAGCTAATACTATGTTTACATAAATGTTTGACAATGGAAAATGGGAAACAAACATCTAGAAACATCTGCTGAGTACCAGGTCTGTAAAAAGAACAATTCCTGCT